TTTTTGCAGATAAAACAGCGGCTTTGGGTTGTCGCTCCGGCCACCAAACAATGCAAAACAAATATGGAGATGATTTGGCCAGATAACTGGGAGTTTCGTTCAATTTTCTTGTATCAACTCGGAGGTTGTGAAGTCTGCTCGCAGCCAAACATTTTTTTTTTACAGCAGATGGAAGATGAGTGGCGATAAACACTCGGCCTTAAAAGCCTCACTGAGTAGCACAAGGCTGACGACAACAAAGAGGAAAAGATGTGTTTGCCTCTAAATCGTCCGACGTTTACAAATTGTCGTCAAAGACGATATTGTCTTTGATATTGTCTTTGATGTTCAAAACAAATTTGCCTGTGATCTTCACAAAAACATGTATGTTGTTTGAAGCCCTTGTTTGTCTTTAATGTTTGTAAAACATATAGTGTATGTTGTTTGAAGACTAAGTTGCCTTTGCTGAAGTTACATTCATTGAAGATCTTTTCATGACCCTGCAATGTCACAGCCTTTGGAAAATTCCACTCTGAGATGACCAGGATGTGACTAAAAACTTTCAAACTCGTCTTTAAATGTGAGCAGGTGTGAGTTTCCCCCACGGTCTTGCTCATAGCTTCGCATGTACAGCTAACTTTAGATGTTTCAAATCATTGACATTAACCCTTTCAGGCACAGCGGTCACGACAGTGATGTTATCAGGTTATCATTATTGGGGCATGAAAGGGTTAAGTTCAGTGACACTTCTCAATAATCGTTGATGTTTTCAAAAACACATACACAGGTCACAGTCACAAAATGTTTCCTAAAACATAAGCTTGGTTCACCGCAGAGTAAAATTGTCACTGGCATTCCCAAGAATACCGACTCAGTTCACTGGAGACAAAACTGCAGTTGATGTTGCAGGGCGTTTTTGTAACTTTGGTATTTTTCCAAAACCCTTCACACAAATGAGAACACTTTTCACCAAAATGCCAAAACATAGTTCTCTTGCAAAAAAAAAAAAAAAACATAAAAAGTCTTCTTAGACTTTTAAAACCTTTGTAAAAATTGTATTTTTGTATCAAACTATGAACACAAGCCTCCTTCACCTTCATGTCTTCTTCCTCGGCCTCTTCTAATTCTCCCTCCACTGTGCCCCGCACCCAACGTCTTACCTGTGGCTTATTTAAGGTGCTCGGACTGATTGCAAAGTGAACTAATTATCGAAAACAGTTTTCACCTGTTGGCAGAATCGTGTGAATACGAGCCGGAAATGGTGGATTGTTTTGCGGGGCGCGTGTGTTGATCATTTGGAAACTGATTGAAAAGCAGTGAGCTGTGCTTGACGAAATTACAAACTCACTACAAAGCAGCGGTTGTGCTGTTAGTTTTGTAAACTCTATGAGTGGTAGATATGAAAGGTTTTATGAATTGTGCTACATGAAAGTCAAAACCAGACAAAAAAGTCTTTGAAGTTTACAACACACTTTAGGTTGACTGGTGACTCAAATTGTTTCCAAAGTCATACATTTATGGTCTATTTTTTATTTATTTACATGTTTCACCTCCTTTCAAATAGACCTTCAAAAAAAAAAAAAACTATTTCCCGCAGTTGTATAAAAAGTAGGTCCCTGAGCCACAAGAACACACTACTTGCTTTTGTTTGGTCGCGTTAAACAACACCAAAGCTTCCATTTGACGT